CAAATAATAGTATCCCTTTCTCTGACATTTTACATCAATTAATTTTATAAAGTACCACAGTGCATAAGGCATGCTATATATGCTCTGTGTGTTTGTGTGTGTGTGTTTGTGTGAAAATAAAAATCACAAAACAGCATAGGCATGCTGATTTGTCAGCAATGAAATGCATTTCTCATATGAAAGTTCTGGTTTGGGTAATTATGTAAGCCAAGGTCTAAACTGACTATACATCTGAATTCAGGATACTCATAGCACCATCTCCCGGGATGCTGAGAATACTTGGAAATTAAAGATTTTACTGAAGAGAAGCCGGTCTGCTGGCAGTGGAAGTCATTTTCTTGCACAAGCAGTACAAGAGAATATGTCAGATACAGAAGTAGAATAGAAAAAATGAGGCAGTACAGTTTATAGGAATACAGTAAAGTCACATAGTATTATAATCAAACTCTATCAATTTTTTGCCAATTCATCCCATTCTATGATTCCATAAATCAGTTAACAGAATTTCTATCACCTATGGTCTGTCCTGCAGTGACTTAGAAACATGATATACATATGCAGCTGTTATGTGACTTCTCAATGTCTTGCTTAATTACAATAAATTGCATTTGTCTTCCACTATTTCAAGAGAAGGCGTCTAAAGAAAACCAGAATAGCAAATGGTTATTGCAACTAACCATTACTAAGTAGATTATCTGAAAATCCACACCGGCTTGTCATTTAGAACCTATTGGATTAATTAACTGGCAAGACATTATTGGTTTTGTGGAGAGAGATGAACTGTAGAGAACAATCACAAAGGAACAAGAGAGAACAAGGAGGAGGAAATACAACACACTAAATAAATAGGCAAATAGTCAATTACAAAAGGAAACTTTGCTTATATAGATGCAACATATACAGGGAATTTTTAAAGTATTTTATATTCCTGTTGGCTCAGAAGAAAAAACAAATAGGTATGCTATTATAGTTGCGTGCAGAACCTAAAAAGCAATAGAAACTCTTTTGAAGCAATATTTTATTTTTTTTCCTAGAAGATTATTATAGGAATGGTTAGTTGAATTATTAGATCACTCTTCTTGAAGATATCCCTTTAAACAAGTGCCCAAACTTTCCTCTGTAAGGACACTGGACTACAAATTAAAGAAAAGCTGGATCCCTTAGTAGTTACTGTTAGTGTTAACAGCAATCTTTGTGCATGACACTTGAACAAGGCAAAACCACTGAAGTTCAGATCCACAAAGGTACTTAGGTGCTTTAACTCTCATTATCCTAAGCACCTAAATGTCCATGATGACCTGGGCTGCAATTCATCATAGAACATGTTTTTTTTAAAAACAAGTTATCTCTAAATCTAAAATAAACTCTCTCTTCTATAAAGCTACTGTAAAATGCTAGGTGGTTTCTTCTAGTGTCAATATGCCATGTTCTGTCTACATGATTTAAAGTGCCATTTTCACCATATCAAATTAAAAACAAGTCTACAGAAACATAGAGTAATTCATACCAGTCACCACTACTTTATTTTGACATTGTATCTGAATCAGGAAGAAATAACAAGATTTAAAAAGAAATAATTTAATTAAGTGAATTGAATTATTGACAGTTGACCTAGTTTAAGCAAGGCCATTTTAATAGCATTATAGAGTCACAGAAAATGAAGGTTGGAAGGGACCTCAGGAGGTCATCTCATTCAATCCCCTGCTCAAAGGACCATCCCATCCAACACTTTGTCTAGCCAACTCTTAAATACCGCCAAGGATGGAGATTCCATAACCATTCTGGGCAGCCTGTTCCAGTGCTTTACTATCCTCCTAGTGAGAAAGTTTTTCCTAATATCTAACCTAAACTTCCCTTGCTGCAGCCTGAATTATATTTAAGGTATGCTTATATTGTTACACCCATAAAAACTTGCTTATATTGTTACACACATACAAACATGCAAATCAAATATACATTATTTGTAAAAATGTACAAATGTGCACACTTTGTGCTTGGTTCGGTGTCTAATTAGAAGTGGGTGCATTCACACAAGATGTTTACTGTGCAGTTGACTAACTGTGCATTAAATGTCTCAGTGTCTCCATGTGCACCCCTATTAGGGGTAGGAAACTAATAACCTCCACAGCATGGCAGTATGTGTAAATACAAGTATTTCCCTGCTGCAGAGGTTTTTTTTGTGAATAGAAGTGCATGTATAAACACTGACCCAGCTGGGTAGGGCATGAGGGTGCTTTCTGTCGTGGCTGCCTACCAGCTAGCCCTGCACTGAAGCACCCTTATGCCCCAGCCAGCTCCTCTGCAGCATATTGAGCCTGCTTGGACCAGCCTTGGGCTGGCAGGCTGACCCCCTGGGCCCTGTGCCAGCCAGGGCTGCTCTGACTGGCTCCACATGCTGTGCATGAATTACTCCCAGGCACACATTCAAACAGTGCTCCCAGGAGCAAAAAACTGTGGAGCAGAGTTTATTCATGTACACTAACTGCACATGTAGATGCTCCATAACTGCAATGGTGGAACAGAGGACAAAATAAAGTTCCAGGTTCACTACACTGCATTTTGATTCTAATCTAGTTGACCCTGTATAAACTCCTTTGTTAGGCACATCAATGTAGTGTCTGAGCACCTTCCAGAACTACAGTGAACAGCATGACTGTCAGCTATCACGTTGTTTGTTCTCTATTTCATTCCCCAGGGAAAAGTGGGTGCAGTGGAGTGCTTTGTTTTGGTAAAGATTTTTTTTTTTTTATTTCTTCCTTTTTGGAGGGAGAGGGCACATATTGCTGGTGTTTTTGTTGTCTCTAAATAGAAGGAAATATTAAAGAAACAGAGTAGAAGGTATTGAGGTTTGGGATGTCCAAAGATGTTAGGGGAATTAATTTCCTAGAATAAACCAAGAAAACTGTCTATTGCACAGATAAATCTTAGCTGTGCAGTATAGTTCCACTGGGCAAGAGGAATTACACTATCAGCCAAAGTCTTTCCGTGGAAGGTTTAAACAGTCTTTTGACTAGAATGAACCTAGGTTGCAGAATACATTGAAGATAATGACTTGATTTGACTGATTTTGTCTTGACTTGAAATTTCATAGAAAACAAGTGTGCAGTACAGAGGAGATAACCTGCATTGTTGAGGATATATGCTTTAGTGCTGTCTGCTAGTTGGGATTTCTTATGCTGTACTATTGCACTGAAGTAGTTCAGTTAAGAAGTAAAAAGGGCATAAATAACTGAAGCAAGTTCATCAACTACTAGGATATGACAATCTCTTAGCCAAATGGAGATGATAGGAAATGGTTCTCTCATGTTCTCCTATGTCAGAGTCTAGTATCATTAAGGATGCAAGGTGTATTCCTATTGTTAAGTACTGAAATGACCATTTGAGAATATGTACCTTGAACCAGATGAGAACACACCATGTCTATAAACACTTCAAAAGGCTTTTCTCTGCTCACCAGCATTGACTGGATCTTTTTCATCCACAACTTAATTCTCTCCAGAAATATTATACTTTTCCATGTGTAGGCCTGATCCTTCAAACTGCTGCGTGTTAGATTCCTGAATTCACGTGGAGCCTCACTGAAATCCATGGGGTTCTACCTATGCAGAACTGGGTCATGTACCAATAATACATAGTTCTTTCTTACATAGTATTTAATAGATGTTAACATGTTCCACAAAAAAGGTAAGGATCATTTTACAAATATGGAAATTAAAGTACACAGAGACCCACACATGGGCGACTGGTGCCTCCAAATCAGGGGGAGCACCAGATTGCCAACAGGGGTGGGGCGGTTTCCACCAGCACTTTCATCAGCACTTCTGGTTTTGTGGTTGGTGCTTT